ACTCCCTGCTGAGCAGTGAGCCTAATGCGGGATGCGGGGCTCGATCCATGGACTCCAGGATCATGACCTGAGCCAAAGGCGGACACTTAACCAACTGAGCCAACCAGGCACCCCTTTTTTTAAGTTTTTATTTGAATTCCAATTAGTTAACATACCATGTTATATTAGTTTTAGGTGTACAATATAGTGATTCAGCACTTCCATACAACTCCCAGTGCTCATCACAGCAAATGTACTCTTTAATTTCCATCACCCAGTTAATCTATCCCCCCACCCACCTCCCCTCTGGTAACTATCAGTTTGTTTTCTTGAGTTAAGAGTCTGTTTCATGGTTTGCCTCTCTCTTTTATTCCACTTTGCTTGTTTGTTGTGTTTCTTAAATTCCTCATAGGAGAGAAATCATGGTATTTGTTTTTCTCTGACTGGCTTATTTCCCTTAGCATTAATATTCTCTAGCTCCATCCATGTCACTGCAAATGGGAAGATTTCATTCTTTTTTATGACTTTTATGAAAAAAATCCATTCATCAGTCGATGGACACTTGCGCTGTTTCTGTAGTTTGGTTATTGTAGATAATGCTGCTATAAAAATAGGGGTGTATGTATCGTTTTGAATTAATACTTGTTAATTCTTTGGGTAAATATCTAGTGGTGCAGTGGCTAGATCATAGGATAGTTCCATTTTTAACATTTTGAGGAACCTCCGTACTGTCTTCCACAGTAACTGCACCAGTTTGTATTCCCACCAACAATGCAAGAGGGTTCCCCTTTCTCCACATTCTCACCAACACTTGTTGGTTTTTGTGTTGTTGAACCAAAGAGCTGAAAGACCTGTAATCTGAAAACTATAAAACACTGGTAAAAGAAACTGAAGAGGACACAAACAAATGGAAAGACATTCCCTGCTCATGGGTTGGAAGAATGAATATTGTTAAAATGTCCATACTACCCAAAGCAATCTACACATCTAATGCAATCCCTTTCAAAATGCTAGCAGCATTCTTCGCAGAGCTGGAACAAACAATCCTAAAATTTGTATGGAATCACAAAAGTCCTGAGATAGCCAAAGCGACCTTGAAAAAGAAAAGCAAAGCTGCTGGTGTCACAATTCCAGATTCAAGTTATATTACAAAGCTTCAGTGATCAAGACAGTAGGATCCTGGCACAAAAATAAACAGATAGATCAATAGAACAGAGTAGAAAACCCAGAAATGAACCCACAACTATATATGGTCAATTAATCTTCAACAAAGCAGGAAAGAATATCCAATGATAGAAAGACAGTCTCTTCAACAAATGGTGTGGGGAAAACTGGGCAGCAACATGCAGAAGAATGAAATTTGACCACTTTCTTACACCTTACACAAAAAATAAATTCAAAATGGATTAAGAACAAATGTGAGACCTGAAACTGTAAAAATCCTAGAGGAGAACACTGGCAGTAGCCTCTTTAACATGGCTATAACAACTTCTTTCTAGATATGTCTCTGGAGGCAAGGGAAACAAAAGCAAAAATACTATTGGGACTTCATCAAGATAAAAAGTTTCTGCACAGTGAAGGAAATAGTCAACAAAACTAAAAGGCAATCTATGAAATGGAGAATATATTTGCAAATAACATATCTGATAAAGGGTTAGTATCCAAAATATGTAAAGAACTTATCAAACTCAACACCCAAAAAATGAATGATCTAATTTAAAAATGGGCAGAAGACATGAGCAGACATTTCTCCAAAGGAGATGTACAGGTGCACCACAGATGCATGAAAAGATGTGCAACATCACTCATTGTCAGGGAAATGCAAATAAAAACCACAATGAGTTTTTACCTCACACCTGTCAGAATGGCTAAAATAAAAAACACAAAAAAGAGTAAGTGTTGGCAAGGATGTGGAGAAGAAGGAACCCTCATGCACTGTTGGTGGGAATGCAAACATGTGCAGTCACTAGGGAAAACAGTATGGAGGTTCCTCAAAAAATTAAAAATAGAGCTACCCTATGATTCAGTAATTACACGACTGGGTATTTACCCAAAGGAAAAAAACCCTCTAATTTGAAAAGATACAGGCACTCCTATGTTTATAGCAACACTATTACAATAGCCAAATTATAGAAGCTTACCAAATGTTCACTGATAAATGAATGGATAAAGAAAATGTGGTATATACATACAATGGAATATTACTAAGCCATAAAAAGAATGAAATCTTGTCATTAGCAACAACATGGATGAATCTAGAGAGTATAATGCTAGATGATATAAGTCAGGCAGAGAAAGACAAATACCATGTGATTTCACTCATACTTGAATTAAAAAAAACAAAACAAAATAAATGAACAAAGGGGGAAAAAGACAAACAAACAAAAAAGACTCTTACCTATAGAGAACACACTGATGGTTACCAGAGGGGAGGTTGGGGATGGGTGAAATAGGTGAAGGGGATTAAGAGTATGCTTACCATAATGAGCACTAAATAATGTGTAGAATTGTGAAATACCTATATTGTATACCTGAAACTAATATAACACTGTACATCAACTATACTGGATTTAAAATTTTTTAAACAGAACAACCAATGGGGAAAGAATAGTCTCTTCAATAAATAGTGCTGGGAAACGTGATATCCAAATGTAAAAGTATAAAATTTGACCCCTATCTTACACTACTCACAAATATTAACTGAAAAGTGGATTAAGGACTGAAATATGAGACATGAAACCATAAAACAACAAGAAAACATGGGGGAAAGCTCCTTGACATTGGTTTTGGCAATGATTTTTTGGATATGACACCAAAAGCACAAGCAACAAGAGCAAAAATCAACAAGAGGGACTATAACAAAATAAAATCTTTAGCACGGCAAAAGAAACATTCAAAAAGGAAACCAGTAAGGCATTCTACAGAATGGGAGAAAATACTTGTAAACTTTATGTCTGATAAGGAGTTAATATCCAAAATACATGAATAACTCATACAAGTAAAAAATGACAAAAACAGTGTAAAATGGGCAGATGAGGGGCGCCTGGGTGACTCAGTCGGTTGAGCATCTGCCTTCGGCTCAGGTCGTATCTGAGGTCCTGGGATCAAGCCACATAAGGCTCTCTTTTCAGGAGGGAGTCTGCTTCTCATTCTACCTCTGCCCTGCCCACTGCCCCTCCCCCCCGCTCATGTTCTCTCTCAAATAAATAAATAAAATCTTAAAAAAATAAAAATAAAATGGGCAGATGATTTGAAGAGATATTTCTCCAAAGAAGACATGCAAATAGCCAACATGTACATGAAAACTTGCTTGACATCACTAATAACCAGGGAAATGCAAATCAAAACCACAAATGAGGTATCATCTTAAACCTGTTAGAATAGCTATTATCCAGAAAACAAACAAAGCACGTACATACAAGATATAATAAATGCCAGCAACGATGCGGAGAAATGGGAACTCTGTCACTGTTGGTAGGAATGAAAATTTGTTCAGCCACTACTGAAACAGTATGGAGTTTGCTCAAAAAATTAAAAATAGAATTACCATATAATCCAGCAATCCCACATTGGGGTATATTTCTGAACAAGATGAAGTCACTATTTCAAAAAGATATTTTCACTCCCATGTTCATTGCAGTATTATTCACAATAGCCAAGACATGGAAACAACCTAAGTCAACCTAAGTGTCCATCAGTGGATGAGTATATATATATACACACACATTATACATATATATGTATACACATACATATATACATATATACACACATATTTAATACATATATGTATGTATGTGTGTGTATGTGTGTGTGCACCATAAAAACAGGAAATCCCACCATATGCAAAAACATGGACAGAACCTGAGAGCATTATTCTTCTGAGAGAAATAAGTCAGATAGTGAAAGACAAATGCTGTACAATCTCTTCTACGTGTGGAATCTAAAAGCATCAAACTTGTAGAAATGAGTGGACTAGTGCTTGCCAGGGGCTGAGGGGTGAAGAAAAGGAGAAATGCTGGTCAAAGAGCATAAATTCAGTTATAAGGTACATAAGTTCTGGGGATCTAAAGTATAGCATGATGACTATAGTCAAAAATACTGTATTATATATTTGAAAGTTGTTATCAGAGTACAGCTTTAATGTTCTCACCATAATAACAACAACAACCATAAAGTGGTCATTATGTAAGATAAAGGATACTTTAGCTAACCTTATTGTGGTAAACATTTTGCAATATATACATATATAAAATCATCACATTGTACACTTTAAACTTAAACAATGTTGTATGTCAACTATATCTCAATAAAACTAGAAAAAAGTGGGGGGAAAGCAGAAAAGCTCAGGTATAGGTCACAGCCCATGCACAGGCTCACTAAAGACTGAGATGTGGTCATAGGATTATAGAATACTTCCCCTCTCCCCACAACATACCACCACATCAATAGGGCTCCTGTGTAACAGAAAATTGCAACTAAAAGAAGTGCATGACTCAGACCTTATTTAAGAAGGAGTATCAAAGGAAATCCAAAGACAGCAGGGGAGACAAAACCAAGCACATTAGAGGAAATTTTAACCTCTGACACCTACAGCTAGGTGTAAAAACATAACCCCTGGCAAGAAAATAAAAATTGACACAAAAGGCCTATTTACTTCATTTCCTTTTACTTGATACAATATGTTCAGGTTTCAGAAAAATTTACAAGGTACATTAAAAGAAATAAAGATACAGACTGAAGAGACAGAGCAAACGTTAGAACCAAATTCAGATATGACAGAGATACTGGAATTACAATAGGTAGAATTTAAAATAATTAGCATTAATATATTAAGGGCCCTAATGAAAAAGGTGAAAAACACACAAGAAGAGATTGATAATGTAAGCAGAGACATAGAAAATCTAAGAAGGAATTAAATGGAAATGCTAGAGATGAAACCCATATCAATTGTATATGGTTTTATTTTCTTAAAGCAAAAACCCAAACACTAAAGCAAATGTTTTCCCCAATTCTCCCAGGAAAATTTGCTTACCACAGAGTGGCTATTGCAATTGCTGCAATACAGTCAATTGGAATTAGAATCTTCCATGAATTTGAAGATATGATGGAAAAGAAGCAACACAAGCAAAGTCTATCTTTAACAGAAATCTAAAATGAGGAACTTGAGATGCAAAAACCTCTTTCATTCCTCTTCTTCTGATAGACAAAAGTTTTTTAAAGTCATCTTTGTAAAAAGTCTTTAGATCTACAATGATTTGTTGTAAGTATATAACATGATTGGGTTCTTTATCTTCTTCTGCTATTGATATGGTAATTATTTCAGGTAATAGATGTAACCTTCAAGATTTCATGAAGTGGGGTGCCTGTGTGGCTCAGTTGAGCATCTGACTCTTGGTTTCGGCTCAGGTCTGATCTCGGGGTTGTGGGATTGGGCCCTGCTTCTGACTCCATGCTCAGTGTGGAGTCTGCTTGTCCCTCCCCTCTGCTCCTCCTGCTTGGACTCATTCTCTCTGTCTCTGCTTCTGTCTCTGTCTGTCTGTCTCTCTTAAATAAATAAATAAATAAATAAATAAATAAATAAATAAATAAATAAATAAATAAAATCTAAAAAGATATTTCATTAAGTAACGTCTGACAATTCACCCTGCCACTTGAAGAAGAAAAATCAGATACTTAAGGATGTGAGCAAGAATGACAGCAGTCTGTTATCAGGCTTGGCACTCCAAAGCTGAGTAGAATCCATGTGATTGATCACTACATACACACTGAAGGAGTTGGCCAAATAGTTTTTTGGGAAGAAAACATTCTAGGTGGGGGAAAATCTAGAGCAAAACTCATAAGGAAGATAGGTTTTTGGTTTGTTCAAGGAATAGCACAAAGATTGATGTGGTTTGAGCAGAGAAAGGATGATCAGTAGTGCAGTCGGAGATAAGGTCAGGATGGTAATGGGAGAACCAGACAATTTGGACTTTGTTACAGTAAGGCTTTGCCTTGTATTCTGAGTGAAATGGGAACCTAGGATTTCTCTTTTCAGAACTGGAGTGATATAGCTAAAGTCAGCCTGGCTGCCATGTTGAAAATATAATGCAGGGAGGAAAGGGTAAAAGCAGAAAGATAAAATAAGAGGCGATTTCAGTAATCCCAATGAGAGGTTATAATGACTTTGGACATGGTGGTAGTACTTGGGAAAATAAAATAGATTCTTAGTATTTTTTCAACTTTGAAAACTTCAAATCTATAGAAAACTTGTAAGAATCAGACAATGAACATTCATATATCCTTCACTTACATTTACTAATTGTTAACACTACATTATCTCTCTCTGTATATGGAGATATCTATATATCTATGTCTATATTTGGTTATGTGTATTTGATATGTATACATATGTGATATATAGAGATAGAAAGAGAAAGGTAGAACATTAAATGATTTTTATAATGTTACATGAATTTTACAAATGTTAAGCCATTTTACAGTCAGTTGAAGACATCATACTTCATACTGCAATACTTTATGTATCTATTTCCTAAGAACAAAGACATACTATGAAGGTTAATTTTTTGTGTCAATTTGACTAGGCCATAGAGTGCCCACATATTTGGTTAAACATTATTCTAGTATGTCTGTGAGGGGGGTTTCTGAATGAGATTAACATTTGAATTGATAGACTGAGAAAAACAGATTTCTTTTGCCATTGTGGGTGAGCTCATCCAATCTTATGATATTCCAATCTTAAAGATAATGCATATGAAATTTCTATATCAAATGTAATTTATGCTGTAGTTTCTAATATATAATTTTTCAAAGAAAATAAATTTTCCTAAGACTTATTTTTAATCAGAATTATGTATTTAACTTTACTGAATACTGTAGTGGGTTGAACATTGGCCCCTCAAAAGATATGTCCATGTCCTAATACCTGTGCCCTCTGAATGTTACCTTATTTTGAAAAAAGACTCTGCAGATGTAATTAAATTAATCACCTTAGACTATCCTAGATTACATAGGTGGACTCGAAATTCAATAGCAAATGTCCTTATAAGACAGAAGAAAAAACAGAGAAGAGGAGAGAGCCATATAAAGGTCAAGGGAGAGACTGGAGCAGATACAGCCACAAGGAATGCCAACAGCCACCAGGAGCTGGAAGAGGTAAGTATAGATTCTCCCTTAGAGCCTTCGGAGAAAGTGAAACATTGCTGACACCTTGATATCACAATCTGTCCTCTAGAACTGTGAGATAATTAATTTCTGTTGTTTAAAGCAATCAAGTTTGTGGTAATTTGTTACAGTAGCCCTGGAAAATTAATACAAATGCTTTTATGCATTATATGGTTTTATCTTTTAGTTTATTTTTAATTGGGAGCATATTCATAGGGGAAATTATGTGCTTACAATGTTATGGAAGGGTTTAACTAGTAAGCTGCACAAAAAAAGACCTTACTAGTAAAATTATTTTTTTTAAAAAGATTTTATTTATTTATTTATTTATTTATTTATTTATTTATTTATTTATTTATTTAAGAGAGCACACACATGCAAGACAGCATGTACAAGGTGGGGAGGGGCGGAGGGAGAGGGAGAAGCAAACTCCCCACTGAGCAGGGAGCCTGATACAGGGCTTGATCCCAGGACCCTGGGATCATGACCTGAGCCAAAGGCAGACACTGAATTGACTGAGCCACCCAGGCACCCAGTAAAATTATTTCTGCTGAGAATGCCATTAGAAGCATACCAATCTACTTCTGAAGCTTCTTCTATTTGCCACAACATTTGAACCCAGAATTCTGGAGAGGGTGCACAAAATATGTGATCCAGCAGTTAAGGAATCAGATTAAGAAGTAATACAGTTGGGGCGCCTGGGTGGCTCAGTTGGTTAAGCGACTGCCTTCGGCTCAGGTCATGATCCTGGAGTCCCGGGATCGAGTCCCGCATCGGGCTCCCTGCTTGGCAGGGAGTCTGCTTCTCCCTCTGACCCTCCCCCCTCTCATGTGCTCTCTCTCATTCTCTCTCAAATAAATAAATAAAATCTTTAAAAAAAAAAAAGTAATACAGTTGACCTTAAGTCCTCTATTTTCAGAAATGACTGAAAATGTGAAAGCATGCTTGAGAAGTGTCAGGTAACGCAAAAGGAATATTTTACCAAAATTATAATCTATGACAATGACAACTTACAGACATTTTAAAAGTAATTCATGGGCGCCTGGGTGGCTCGGTTGGGCGACTGCCTTCGGCTCAGGTCATGATCCTGGAGTCCCTGGATCGAGTCCCGCATTGGGCTCCCTGCTCGGCAGGGAGTCTGCTTCTCCCTCTGACCCTCCCCCCTCTCATGTGCTCTCTCTCATTCTCTCTCTCTCTCAACTAAATAAATTTAAAAAAAAGTAATTCATATGCAAAAAAAGTAATTCATATGCTTACAGTGTTATTATTAAGGGTTTAACTAGTAACATCTGCATAAGTAATATAGTAATCTAACCTTTTTCAAAACTAAGAAAATTTTCTCTAAAAATGGTATAATCATAAAGAATGTGGAATGACCTTCAGTAATGTATATCAATATACTCAACATAAGAAAACTCATAGTGGTGGAAAACACAGTGAAAGTAAGGAATGTGAGAAGACATTTAAATTTAATTCAGTCCTTACCAATATAGAGAATTCATATAGTGAGAAATTTTATAAATGTTAAGAATTTGAGAACATCATTATCTGTGTGGATAATTTAGTCACCACCAGAAAATTCATACTGGTGAGAAATTCTGTGAATATAAGGAATGTAAGAAGGTCTTTAGAGCTGAGTTCTTTTTGCAAACTAGAAATTCATATTGCAGATAAGCTTTATGAATATTAGTAATGTAGGAAAGCCTCTACTGTGTCTGGACAAGTTACTTAACATCAAGAATTTACACTGACGAGAAACCTGGTGAATGTACAAATGTGGCATGATGTTTAGACTTAATTCAGTCTTTACTAAATATTAGAGAATTCATACTGGTGAGATTTTTTTTAATGAATAGGAGAAATGAAATAAAGTCTTCACTGTGTGTGGACAATTTATCCAAGGAGAGGATTCATACAGGTGATAAATCATAGGAATATAAAGAATGTGGGAAGGTCTTTAGATCTGATTGAGTTCTTTTTTCAAACCAGAGAATTCATACTGGTGATACATTATATGAATGTAAGGAATGAGGAAAGCCTTTTACTATGTATGGATAAGTTACTCAACATCAGAGAATTTATACAGGTGAGAAATCACAGGAATATGAAGAATGTGGGAAGGTCTTTAGACCTAATTGAGTTCTTTCTTACTATCAGAGAATTCATACTGATGATAATCTTTATGAATGTAAGGAATGTGGGACAGCTTTTATTGTATGTGGACAAGTCACTCAATCCAGAGAATTCATACTGGTGAGATACCTGATTAATGTAAGAAATGTGGGAATATATTTAGACTTAAATCAGTCATTATTATAATATAGAGAATTCATACTGCTGAAAAGCTTTATGAATATAAGAAATTTAATAAAGTTTTTACTGTGTGTAGACAACTTATTCAACATCAGATTATGAATATTATTAAAGAAAACCCATGACAACCCTATGAATGTAATAAAAATGGAAAAACCATTAATATGCAAAAACAAGTTACTTGAGAATAGAGTATCAATATTGGTAAAAAGCTCTTTGAATGCAAGGAATATGGAATGGCTTTTAGATATCATTCAAACCTTAATATATGTTGGTGAATTTATACTGGTGTGAATTATTATGAATGTAGGGAATGTGAGAAAGCCTGTAGTCAAGGAAGACACCCTCATATGCAAAAGAGAATTCATATATGTGAAAAACAATATAAAATATTGTGGAAAGACCTTTAGTAATGGCTATCAAATTACTCAACCTCAGAGAATTCATATTTGAGAAAATCTGTGAATGCAAAGTATGTGAGAAGACCTTTCCAATGGCACGCTTTCTTTAATTGGTATGAGTAGTCTTCCACCTTGAAATTGGACTTTAAAATTTCTCATGAAATAATTCCTTAGCTAAAGCAAATTAAAAAACGAGAAACTTAGAACTGCCTCATTTGTAGATCCATAAAACCTTGTTATGCTCCTTTACCTATGTCCTACTCTTCTCTTACACTTCTCCACCTCCAAGACCTTGTTTAACTTTCATTGATTCCTTAAATTTACTCCTTCTCCTCCTTTATCTTAACTCACAAAACCATCTCAGTGCATCTTAAAATTCATATTCCCATTTGGGGAAGACCTCAAAATCTAGTCATGTTTAGATCTCTGTGCTATTGTTTAGACTTCCCATATCCCAACATGAAAAGAGAAGTATCTTTCAAGATGATCATGAGGTTTATGTTTTCTTTTTTAAAAAGATTTTATTTATTTATTTGACAAAGAGATAGTGAGAGCAGGAACACAAGCAGGGAGGTGGGAGAGGGGGAAGCAGGCTTCCTGCTGAGCAGGGATCCTGATGCAGGGCTCGATCCTAGGACCCTGGGATCATGACCTGAGCCAAAGGCAAATGCTTAACGACTGAGCCACCCAGGTGCCCCTATGTCTTTTATTCATATAAAGTATTACATTAATTGATTTTCAGATCACAAAACAACCTTGCATTACCAGGATAAATCACCATAAGTCATGATGCATGATCCTTTTTAAACATTGCTGAATTCAGGGGTGCCTGGGTGGCTCAGTTGGTTGAGCATCCAACTCTTGATTTCTCAGCTCATGATCTCAGGATTGTGAGACTGAGCCCCGAGTAGGGCTCCACACTGGGCATGGAGCCTGCTGAAGATTCTCTCTCTCCCTCTTCCCTCTGCCCCTCCCCCTTTCCCTCTCTAAAAAACAAAACAAAACAAAACATTGGTGGATTCAATGTGCTAGTAGTTTGTTGAGTATTTTTGTGTCTACATTGTAAGAGATATTTGTGGGCTTTTTTCTTGTGATGCCTTTGTCTGGTTTTGTTATCAGTAGCCTCATAGAATGAGTTAGGAAGTGTTCCATCCTCTATTTTTGGAAGAGTTTTGTGAATAATTAGTGTTAATTCTTCTTTAAATGACTGTCTGGGGCGCCTGGGTGGCTCAGTTGGTTAAGCGACTGCCTTCGGCTCAGGTCATGATCCTGGAGTCCCTGGATCGAGTCCCGCATCGGGCTCCCTGCTCGGCAGGGAGTCTGCTTCTCCCTCTGACCCTCCCCACTCTCATGCTCTCTATTTCATTCTCTCTCTCAAATAAATAAATAAATAAATCTTAAAAAAAAAGACTGTCTGGTCCTGGGATTTTCCTTATTGGGAGTGTTTTTAAAAAAATTATTGCTAATCCAATCTCTTCATTTGCTATAGGTTTATTCAGATTTTTTTTAAAGATTTTATTTATTTATTTGAGAGAGAGAATGAGATAGAGAGAGAGCATGAGAGGGGGGAGGGTCAGAGGGAGAAGCAGACCCCCTGCTGAGCAGGGAGCCCGATGTGGTACTCGATCCTGGCACTCCAGGATCATGACCTGAGCCGAAGGCAGTTGCTTAACCAACTGAGCCACCCAGGCGCCCGGTTTATTCAGATTTTTATATGCATTCTTGACTTAATTTTGATAGTTTGTGTCTTTCTAGAAATTTTTCCATTTCACCTGCATATTTAGTTTGTTGGACTACAGCTGTTCATAGTATAACCTATTGTTCTTTTTTTCCCCATGTTTTTATCTACATTCCAGCTAGTTAACATACAGTGTAATATTAGTTTCTAGTGTGGGATTTAGTGATTCATCACTTACATACTACAGCTGGTGCTCATCACAATAAGTGCCCTTCTTCATACCCATCACACATTTAACCCATCCCCCCACCCATCTCCCCTCCAGCAGCCCTCAGTTTGTTCTCTATAGTTAAAAGTCTATTTTATTGTTTGCTTCTCTTTTTTCCCTCTATGTTCATGTTTTGTTTCTCTTTTTTAAAGATTTTATTTATTTAAAAAAATTTTTAATTTAAATTCAATTAATGAACATATATTATTAGTTTCAGAGGTAGAGGTCATTGATTCATCAGTCTTATATAATACCCAGTGCTCATTACATTTCATCCCCTCTTTAATGTCCATAAACCAGTTACCCCATCCCCCCATTCCCCTCCCCTTCAGCACCCCTCAGTTTGTTTCCTATGATTAAGAGTCTCTTGTGGTTTATCTGTCTCTCTGATTTAGTCTTGTTTTATTTTTCCCTCCCTTCCCCTATGATCCTCAGTTTTGTT